TCCTCTCTCTCTCTCTCTCTCTCTCTCTCTCTCTCTAAGACTAATGCGAACTTGTGTGCTCTCATGGCAGTTTTCCAGTATGACAATAGCGCTCACAACGTGGTTGCAGTGAACGCTGCAGGCTACAAAAGCTGCCTCGTTCCTCGTGGCTCTAGGACTTACCGTTCCGGCAGCGATCGCATCACTCTCAGAAGGGGTGCCAATTTCTTCCTTTGCAGCATTCCCGGCCACTGCCAAAGTGGAATGAAGGTCCAAGTCAATGCTGCATAGAGAGAGAAATTATAGTTAAAGAGGTCGCATCTCATTTTCTGGTTATGATTTTAGATGTGAGGTCCTGAGATCCGGCTACTAAATAAATAATAAATGAGGTTATAAACCATGGATCCACTGTGTGTTGCTTATGGGCCTGATCTTTCAATTTCGTGCTCTCTCTCTCTCTCTCTTTCTCTCTCTCTATTAAGGATGTCGGACTTCATGATACAATTTATTTTATCCGATACTAAAGGCGTGTTTGATTTTTAAAAGATGCGGATTTGAATTTTGAAAATCGATGCCTCTTCCACTTTTCTATTTGATAATAGGGAAGTTTTATAATAAAATATATTCAAAGCTAAAAAGTGGATACCCCAAGTTCGGTGTGGAAGACCGTAAAACTTGGGGTATTTAGAAAGATGTAGTTTCCAGATATCAAACGCCCCTTATGCTCGTGAGACAAGGTGTTAAAGTCATAAACAGGAGAACTGAAGGCCGTGTTCAGTCACATCACATCATATCATATGGGATTTGAGGAAGGGAAATCTTAATAATATTTTTTTTCCATTACTATCACTCAGTGCTATTTGACTATAAAAATGACTTCTCGTTGCTACGAAATTCAAGGGAAGTGTATATTTGCAATGATTTATACAGACAATTGTCTGTTTAAATTTCTCGCTCCTATGGAGCTGTTCTTTCAATTTGTTGCTCTCTCTCACAAACAAGTCACAAATTTGGTCTAAGCATGCTGGACTTAATAATATTTTTTTTCCATGACTATCACTCAGTACTATTTGACTATAAAAATGACTTCTCGTTGCTACGAAATTCAAGGGAAGTGTATATTTGCAATGATTTATACAGACAATTGTCTGTTTAAATTTCTCGCTCCTATGGGGCTGATCTTTCAATTTGTTGCTCTCTCTCACAAACAAGTCACAAATTTGGTCTAAGCATGCTGGACTTCACAATAGAATCCTTGTTATAAGAGGCTAAGGGCGTGTTTGATTTCTAGGAGGCTAAGGGCGTGTTTGATTTCTAGAAGATGCAAATTTGATTTTTGAAAACCCTTCTTCCAGCCCTATAGCACTTTTCTGTTTTGATAATAAAGAAGTTTTATAGCAAAATGGATATCATGGTATCCACCGGCGTTTTAAAAAACGCCGAGTCGAACCGGACTCGCCCGGTTCGACTCGGAAAACGCAAAAAGTAGATCGTATCGGTTAAAAAATCGAAAATCGTCCGGTTCTAAAGAGAACCGGACGATTCTGTACAGTGAATCGCAGATTCACTGTACGGAATCGGCGAGTCCGAACAATGAATCGGCGAGTCCCGTACGGAATTTTTTTTTTTTTTTTTTGATAATCCATGATAGATTTTTTTGTAATACTTGATCGAATTTTTTGTAATCCATGATCGAATTGTTTTTGTATTTTTGTAATCCATGATCGAATTTTTTGTTTTTTTGTAACCCATGATAGAATTTATTGTAATCCATGATCGAATTTTTTGTAATCCATGATCGAAATGTTTGTTTTTTTTTCTTGTAATCCGTGATCGAATTTTTTGTTTTTTTGTTTTTTTTTTTTAACCCATGATAGAATTTTTTGTAATCCATGATCGAATGTTTT